TTTTTGGAATTTTTGCTGGTGAATCTATTTGTTGAATTTGTTGTTATCTGTTGTAATGTGAATAATCCATATTCTAAGATTATTATAACAAATGAATAATGTCATGAAAGTATTTTTTATGAATAATGTTTTTCAGACAATAAAGTAAATATCTTAAACTCCTTGAATTTGAAGATAATTGATGTATGCCGGTTATAGTTGGTCACCAGTTCTAGAGTCGAAATCCATAAGAGAATGGATACAAAAAACGTAGAAATAGTAGTAGTAGTAGTAGTAGTAGTAGTAGCTTAGATTACCCTTTGAATGAACAACTCACTCCATATAGGAAATTGGAAATATTGATAACATTTATAAACTGCTTTTGTTATTAATCTCATATTTAGATTTGAATTAAAAGAGAAGCGTTAAGTAGATAATCGGAATCATTTTCAGTTGGACAAACATTTTTGTCCATATAAAACAAAGCATTTCATATTTATATTGTATACAATAATTCAATTTATATAAGTATGACTATTTAATTTGTCTACCTTTAAATAAAATCAATTAGGTTTTCTATATGCATCGAAGAATCGTTAAAAAATAGAAAGCATCATTTTCTCTACATTACTATAATACTTAAAAAAGCTTAAACGGAAATCAGTTATCCAAGACTTATTGGGTAGTAATAATTTTTCTGTTTGTGTCAACTTGTGACTGAGGTTATTTCGAATTCAGCTAATCAATACATGTTTACGGTTTTTTTTCTGTTTAGCTATAGTCATTTCAAATAACATTGAGAAATGACATAAATTTTCAGTTGATCAAACCTATCGAAAATCAGAACATATTTCTGATAGTGTAAGTTTATAGAGCTACATAGCAACTTCCTGATTTACTAAGCTTTTTAAAGAATACTTATATCTATTTATTTGGCTTGGAATAAAGTTATTTTTTTAATCCCAAATAAACGATAATGTCTAGTCAGCAACAAAGTAATCTACGGTTCATTTATCATACACACGCACACATGTTTTTTTTAGTTAACACTTTTATATCAAAAGTTGATCACAAAACTGATTGGAAAGTGACAACAGAACATGTACCAACTAGTAACACATGAAGCATTTTATATTCCATACAAATCATTTTTTTGAATAAATGTTCATTGAATTTCAAGCCCTAACAATAATTGTTGATAAAGGAAATATATTACATGCAGTTAGTTCCCTTTATGAATTTAAATAAAGACAGAACAAATATTGATGCAGAATAATATGAATTCATTATATTTCGTGGTTTCTCATCAGCTGCTTACAACCAAATATGCATTAGAGTGTTAGCATTAGGGTAATAAATAGGATGGAACGACTGACATAAGTGAATGTGAAGGATTGGAATAACAAAAGTCATCGATGATAACTAAGATATATATATATATATATATATATATATATATATATATATATATATATATATATATATATATGGGCAAGGAAAGGTCAGAGGTTATTAGGTATTAGAATAAAGGGTGGCGTAATAGTTGAGTGGAGTTCAGAGACAGATAAAATCAAAAATGTGATTATTTTAGAGGTAGTTGAAAAAAATTAGGGTGAGTTACGTAATAATTAAATAAAATTTGGATAGTTCATATAATTAGGAGACAAATTAGCGGAAATGTGTGAGAGAAAGGGTGGTTTAAGAATTGGGTACGTAACTTTCTTAATAATCGATGCTGTACTACCAATCTTCTGACATCCGAAACAAGATTTGCACAAATATTATACAGTTTATGTGTTAATTTCTGTTGGTAAATGATATTCTTGAGTGATTACCTTAATGTAACCAATAATTACAAGTTTATTATATCTTTCAACAGTGACTAACAATAAATGATGCGTCTAAAAAGATAAGTACATTGTTCAAGTCGTAGTGTAAACGTCAAACAGGAATCCGATTACATCCAGCTTTTGAGTCCCGAATAGGGTGAAATTCACGTTTTAAATTCTTTGACTAGCCACTACCGAAAACAGTGTTTACATATTCTTTTTTATACAAATATGATTGAAGATACTCAATGGTTAGAATTTGAGGACACCTTTAATACAATATATATAATATTCAGAACTGAAACCAATTAAAGTCTTCTGTAATGAACATTTCGGTAATCTGAAATAAACTTTTAAATAAATACATGAAATTCAAAATTTATTTAGACGATGCTATGATTGATCTTGTCAACAATATCTGAAGTTATTCAAAAGAAAAACTTTTCCAAACTCTTGATGATTGAACAATATGCTTTTTTTATGACACATAATCAACTTTAGGATACACAAGTTCATTTTAACCAAAAACTTTCCAGCATTATTGAAATTTTAGAAGAAAGAACAATGAAATGAAGATAATTTTCAAGTTGATTGGTTTATGAATATAATTAATATTTATTAAAAATAACGTTAGTCCATTAATAATAGTAACTAAAGACTATTCTATTCAATTGACTTCATCGATATTCTCCAATCATTACTATTCATATACGTAACCTTTACGGAGACAGCATGAACACTCAGCGTTATTTCATTTGGGATGTAATTTAGTTGAATGAATTAAATTTATTGACTCCAATGAACATCTAAAGTAATATCTCTGTTGTGATATATTCAACTATTTTTAAAAAATAGTTACTTTTAATTATTTCATATGAAAATCATTTTTTAGTCTATTGAATAGTTGGTTATTCAATCATCACGTTCCATGAAACAATGGGTAACGACTTCTTTTGTTTTCTTCAAGTGATGTGTAAATGTCTAAGTGGAAATATACAATTATCTTTTCTAAGATTTATGATTTCTGTTAGTTACCGTCCTTAAACTATAATTATTTATTTACACACTTAATGTATTCTAAAAGTTATTTGAGTATTTAGTTTCTTTTGATTGTGAATAGGTTTTGTACATAAAATTTTGATTAGATAATATGATGACATTTTTGTTTTGAGAAATCTAGTTATTCTATAACAGACTATTTGTTATTTAAAACTGTAATGAACAAGAACACAAGTGGGAATAATCGAATGTGTCTGAACACAAAATACGAAATCTCTTAGTAAGACCTGAGAATCATACAGTAGATACTTTATTTGCAAAATGTCAATCAATCGTCTCAAACTTGACTGTTCATTTCGCAAATGTCAATTAATCGTCTCAGAGTTGATTGTTCCTTAATTACCACACTAATCATTCTCTGTGCTCGTTTTCTTTTTTTCGATCTTCTTAACCTTCTCCCTCCAGGTATTTCAAGTTCGATTGATGATACATACTGCTTGAATTTGTCGGCATCGATAGCACACACCACATAACATCATCAAATTAAAATTAATAATCATAATTCGACTAGAAAATGAGAATTCAATAAAATCTGTTTAAATGCTGTCTTCGTCCTCAGTAATAAAAATAATAATTAGCAATAATACCAAGGCTGGACTTGATGGTTCTAAATATCTGGAGACTTGACTTGCATTCAGTTGCGAAACTTCAGAAAGTCAAGTATTTACGAATTGGAATATCAGAAAATATTATTTTTTTATTACTAATGGCCTTATTCGGTATGAAGTAAAATTGTCAGTTCTGCTTACAAATATTGTACGTCGCAAAGTATTATACATACATTTTATACTCTCGCTAACTTTGGATTTGAGAATTATGCTTTACATATATTTATCTGCGAATACTGTGACAACTCTAAATAGTATTGGCTTGTTATACTGTTCCCTGAAATTATTCAATAAGCTTGAGTTTAAGAACCGACGAAAGTTAGCACTTGCCTAAATACAATGAAGTAAAATTACGAAATACAGAACAAGGGCTTCAAATGTTTTCTTGACAAGGAAATATATATTTCACATTCAGTAAACTTTACTTTATCTTGATTCATATTTTCATCTTTACTTGACCTTTAAAATAGCAAAGATAACTTGTCAGGTAAATAAGGCTATGATATATATCATATTCAAACAGTCTATTTCATTGATGTGATGTTTAATAATGCTTATTTCCAGTTTTAGGCGATAGACTCATCATTTAATGGACCGCTTAGTGTATGGTAAATGAAAAATCAAATATCTGTCTGAGATTCATACATCAATAAGAAATGCGTTTTGTTGGCACGTTTCCATTCAAGTACGATATAAGAGAAATCTGAATTGGATACTTTAAGTATTGAATAATAGTAACATTTAAGACATTGGTTTCAGTTTTTAAAATCTATTCATTTGACTAGTGCTTTTTAAAAATATTAATCTAACCCACTGATTCTTCTGTTATCATGTATTCGACCAAATTGATTACGTAAGAAGTAAAATAAGCCCATTTGCAATAAAACTTAATACAGCTTAAATCTGAAGTGTATTAGATTACATTATCATAAATCTCTCAATATATTCAGTTCTACTATACAGGCTAATAATTGGCTAATTTCTACATTCAACATCAGATTTGTTCATATTGATGAACAATATCATCATTTTGCTTTGGTTTGTGATAACATTAACGACCGAAGAAATAACCTTTATAGTATTTCAATTGATCCCATGAACAACATTTTGATTATTTCAATCACCGTTTTAATTATGATAATGAAAATATTGTAGACATTAAACATAAAGATTTCTAAAGAGAATTGAAAAACAGATAACATGTTTTGTACAATTTTGAATTATTAATAAACCAAGTCAATACTCATAATATTTAGAAGAATTAATATGGGACACACTGTTGTAAGTTGAAGAACCTAGAAAGGAATGGTAGGTAGATCAGTAAAATTAAAATAAGCTATTTTCTTTCCTTACACACCCTCTCGTAAATTCTTTTACCATCTATCCTATATTTATTTACCCATTTAATTTTCAACCAATCGGAATCCAGATATTTGTTTCCTTCCGTACACCAGAAACGGGATTCAGTTATTTTGACCAATGAAAGTTGAAAACTGATTCCTTCGTTAGTTTAATAACTATATTCATTTTTTAGGCAAGAAACATTGATGAAAATCAATACAGCTTGAGAATATTGTTGTTGTTATCACTATTAATAGTATTACTGCTATCAGTATTATTACTATTTCTGCTTTCAATTAAATCAAGTGGACTATCGGAACATAATATTAGGAAAATAATTTTGACAAATATTCCCAGAAAAACATCAATCAATTCCAAAGAAAAAAACTTGGTTTGGAAACTAAGGCATTTTACAAGGAATTTTATATACTATACATCATTAACAAATATACATATAAATTTGACAGATCTTTAGAAATGGTTGATGATTGGGTTATTAAAACTATGTATGCGACAAAACGACGCAGAAAAAATCCTAAAAGGTTAGTAGATAGAATAATACTTTTTTTGTCAATAATCTCTAGGGGGCTACATCTAGTATGCATTTTATTTTAGTGATTGACTTTGTAAAAATCCAACATCAACATCCTCTATGGTATAATTATTCATTTTTAGCATCTTATCACATCTACAAGGGTTCCATTTGTTTTTTATGATTAACAATTATCTGTTACAACAATAAGATGATAAAAAAGTTACCTAGACATTTATAGAACATAAGTGAGGTCTAAAGTTATCTGATATGAAATAAGCATATTAAAAATGGTTTCATCATCTCTACAGATGTTATTCTCATCTTCGGAAAACTACCAATATATATATATATATATATATATATCCACAATCACAATTATTGAACTGTATTAAACTTAAGCTACTCAAATTCGTTTAAAGATACAAAGTTATAATTTGTCAGTGAAATTCTTTCTGATGCATATCAATAAATGATATTGAAATAATATCCTGTCAATTCAAGATGTGATCAAAACGTAGGGAGACTTTACTTTTAAACCAATGTAGCATCCAACATATAGATAACTCAGTACCAATTAACGTAAACTATGGATGAAAGGAAAGAATGAATTATTGAACATGGTAGATAAAAAAATACCTGGTGTATTTAATATGTTTGTTTTAAAAGACTTAGTGACCTAATTATTGTGGAAGATTCTTACTTTCACAGTATTTATTGATATACAGAGAAATTCTACAAAGAGCTTCTGATCATTTATATACTCATAAATTTATATTTTAAACATAGGAACATAATTGCTAGTTATGCTCGAGTACTTCTATACTAAACGTCAATTATCACACTTGAAAACTAACCAAATTTCTTAAAAAAATTTGAATGTAGTCACGTCATAAATTTTGGGATGATAAGCCCTCTTGTCAAAATAAATGTATTAGAACAACCAAAAACAACGCTCATTGTGTTTTCACTGTACGAGGTTTTTTCTATTGAGATCATGAATAGATCAATGCTAGACAACTATTGTAAACCTGAAGTCATTGGACATCCGTTCCGTCCTAGTATGCTACTCCTCAGCAATGTTCATCCCACATTCATGACTTCAAACCAGGAACTTCGGTTTCGTGAGTGAATGCTTAACTCGTAGACCATCATCAATTATTTACCTAATGTGATATTAATGGACTATACATATATGATTTTAAGAAAAAATCTGAAATGTTTAATGAACATAATTTGAGCAAATAAATAATAGTGTCAGACTTTCATACTAATTAATGGTAATTTTAAAGCTAGTTATTATATTGTTTTTAATAGCATGAATAGGAAAAATCGTAGTTAACTTACTGATCATACATTGACTTTTAACAATGTATACTAATTAAATTTAAGGATTTTCTATGTTACTATTAAATAAGGCATTACTAATAGTCATTTTTATCTGATCGGTAAATCATTTGGACAAGTTTATTATTTCAGTCTTAAAACTTCTTAACCATTCATAAAATTTGAATATGATGGAATTTAGAAATGTGTAAATTATCAAGGAAAGATGGATGCTGGCTAGCAGTGGAATCCAGGATATGCGTTTCGTTCTATTTGGACTCGTCAGCTGAATGTTCATGAATCCTATAGTTAATGTTCACTTCGGGACTCGAACTCAATACCGTTCTTTTCGAATGCCATCACGTTATCCACTTAGCTACTGAGTCCTGATAGCCACCTGCTTGTGCAATGGAGTGAATTTTAAATTCATTTTGTATTGTTCGTTTGAATCTTCACATTGTTGTGTAGGACTGCAATTGATCAGTCTGTTGTTGGCATATGTGCAGGTTGGCTCGGTAATGCCTTGATTCCCAAACAGGATCAAACGCGCGTCGTGGATTCCACTGCTAGCCACAACCCATCTTTGCTTATAATGCTTGTGACTTAAGGCAATATCGATGAACTCCGTAAAGGATGCACATATGCCAATAAGAGATTGATCAACTTCAGTCCTAAAAATCAATGGGAAGATCCAAACAAGCAATACAAAATATATGTGAATAACTGTTGGGCCGAAGGATTAGAATAAAATTATTATTATTTAACGTTTAACCTCACTGTTAACTTCATTGACTTTTTAGTATAAGTTTGTCAGTCAAAATTTTAAGAAAGTTGTTTATCATAATTTCAAGTGATTTATAGCTTGTTTTCACGTATTATTATCAGTATTGTTTAAGACTTGAGATATTTACTACTAGGTCAATCATTGCCTATCAGGAAGCAAATGTTTATCCTGAAGATATTTAATAGAGAATCACTACATTTTATAATATCAATATTATTTTTAGGTAAATCGTAGTATGATTTAAGTGTCAGAAAATGTTTATCATTCATTTATTAGATATGTTCTACAACTGAAGCCATAAAAAAGCTCTATGATGATTTCTACTTAATTACCGTAACTTCTATTCAATATTTCATTTAATATGGCGAATACAGTGAAAGTGAAACAGAATGCAGAATATATAAAAGAAAGTAAATTAGTAAACAGATGGTTACTTCTATCCTATAGATCATATCTACTGAAAGAATAGCAAGTGAACTCATCTTCTCTTTCATACCTGTCTATCCAAATACATTCATCCAGTTTATTAATATATTCCATGTATGCCTGTGTTCGTTTTATCATTGACTTTCTTTCAAATAAACCAACTACACACAATCAAGCATTCACTCACTTCCATGTTTGTCTATGGATTGACAGGGGTAGTGAAAATACACTTCTACCAAAATCCTTCTTTCAAAATTCAATTTCTCATAGACTCGAATGATTACTATATATTATGAATGAATAAGAAATCTGTTCCGCCCAAAACAGAACTACAATACAAGTTCACCAATGCTAATACAGTTGAGTTGTTTTCTGTAAAACAGTATACACTGGAAATGGAAAATAGGATAAAGCACGCGACAGATGGATGTCATACAAATATGAAATCTAATTTCAAGATACTATCGATAATATTAAGAAGATTGTATTCATCAGTAGTATGAATAATATCATGGTGAACTAGGTTATTCAGTGTACTGATAAAGATTATTGTCAATACATAAATATTAGAGTTGGATATTGGCTCATATAACTCAATCAGATATTATTATATTATTTTGTTTAAAACTTCACTTGAATGAATATACATTTTAAAAAATAGAATAACAATGACTATTAAATTACTAGAACCCAGTAAATTCTGGTATGGTTTCTTCGGTACCACTAGCAGATTAACTAATTTTCAAATATACATTTTATTCATAATTGTTTGAATACAAGGTAATATCGAGGTAATATCAATGGGAATAAATGAAAATGTACAATGTATGGATAAAAACATTATACAAAATGAAATTGGAGTCATTTGTTGTATTCGATATATGATAGATCCTAGTTGATTTTCAGCTTTAGATCAGTGTGTAATACACTGAATTTTTCTGTATTATTCATCTATAACAAATGTGTTATTTCTTATCATTATCGACATTCTTAGTATAATTACTTTTGATTTCGAATGTTTTAACACTAACAATGAAACTTTTATATAAGATTTACATCTTATTTAGTTTCAGTTCTAATTAAGATCGTTGAGAACTACCACTGACGAATTAGGGAGTCAGTGTTTCAACTTTAAATAATTCTAATTAGTTAATTAAACAAGTATGACAGTGATGATATTGTCTCTGGTGTTTATATTTTTTTTAAAGCTTTGAATAATAAATATTTATTATTAGTAAATTTATCCCCATGGCTGTTTGTACTATACAGTTTTGTTAAAACTGAGTGACTTAACTATTACACCATTCAATTGTGTAGAAATCTAAAATAATAATAAATTTTCTTTTTCATAAGCATATGACAGTTTTTGATTATAACGTTGAGATGTTTGTATATTGGAAGTTATACTGTCGAATATGATCAAATAAACGCCTTCAAGTTACTTACATTACACTGAAAATTAATATATCTCATTTATTTGTATTCATTCATTCTATTTCAGTTTAACTGATTATTCTCTTCTTTTTTTGATGCATCTAGTAATAAACCAACATGTTCAGCTGTAATTCAACCAGATCATAATGTAAAATCTAATCCAAGTAAAAGGCATCGTGAACGTCTAAATTCAGAATTGGAACATTTAGCAAGTTTATTACCATTTGAACAAAATGTTATTGTGAAATTGGATAAATTGTCTATTCTACGATTAGCTGTCTCATATCTTCGTATTAAGTGTTACTTTCATGGTAAGTATCCTTTATATATTCTCTTTTCTTTTGTTTTTTAAACACAATAATTGAAGTGATTTCTATGAGTTTTAATGAATTCTCGAAGATTCTGACTGTATAAATCAAATTATATATTATATTGGACAAAGATAATACGTCATTCAGTTTTATGTATTTTATTCATTTATAATAATGTTGCTTAATTTCAAATTATTATTGCCAATGAATTTGGTGAACTGGTATTACACTTATATTCTATGTTATGAGATGGTGGAGAAGATTTGTCGCTCAGGTGGATGATCTTGATAGAGTTTTGTTCTCTGAGTTGGATGATTGTGGTTGTGGAGCTTTCATCATTCTACTGAATGACATCATCAGCACAAACTTCGGGTAGAAGTGAAGTGTTCGAATTTCTTCATATATGTTTCTCAGCTTGTCCTGTAGACCTTGATCTTGATTGGTTATTTCATTAAATCTTATACTTTTTTATTTCATGAATTCATATTTTCTCAAATAATATCATTTATATTTACTCTTACCTATTACCACTAATAATGTGACTACTTATGCTATTCTGCTTTCTGGCTTTGCTGATACGATGTGGCAACTTGATCAGGCTTCAACTCTAAAGGGTATAAAGTATAAATTGATGATATAACCAAGTGAAGTGAAATTTATTGCATTTTGCACAAAAATTCTGTCCAATTTATCGGTTATCATGGATCTAAAAATTAAATATGTCAAGGATAAAGTATTGATAAAATATAAATTACATTTTTTCTCTTTTTTTATTACATAATAATATAATGACAAAAATAAATCTTTTGAAATAGATCTAGGTTTTTTAAAAAAATTGCTCATCATCCTCATTCCTCACTTCTTTCTAATCAATAGTTTAACCTGTTGTTATGTGTCACATTGAATATACGTAATCTTCAACCAACTTTTTTTTTAAAAATTGTATACTTATTTATTTATGGTTGAGTGGATAAATCAGTGATTTAACAGAAACAACTAATCTGTATATAGTTTGAATATAGTTTATATTCTTTATTACAATATACCCCTTGATTATTATGAGAGAAATTTCTTATTCAGAAACTAAAAAACATATAAACAGATAATTCTTTAAAGCTTAGTTCATATATATATAAAGATTAGTTTAATATATTTCCTTTGGATCGAGTCTGTGCTAAACAAATCAAGTGAATATAAGCGTGAAAAATATGGATACAGAGATTTGTTTCTTCTTGTATATATTGCATCATAATAGATCAATGTGAATAGTGACAAGACAAAAACAAATTTGAAATAATTACCTAACCAGCAATTATTAAATATATTAGTTATACTGTTCGGTTTAATTTGTTTCTAATAGTTTTTTTCGAAAGATAAGTCAATTCGTTGTAGATGTTAATCCCTAAATATATCTATGATAACGAACAACTTATAATTTAATTTATACTGGATAACAACATTTTAGTTTTTGATAAATAGTGCCTATATTTTCCGAATAATTTAGTATTATTATGTTCTCACTAGTGACTAGATTCAAGATGAATTTCCTGGAGTTTTAATAAAAAGCTGTGCCTAAAGGAGTTCCATCCATGTCGGGTATGAGACAGTTACCATCTCAGACAGTGGACGAAGGTTTACTCAAGATCATGAATCGATTGAAGTTAGACATTAATAACCTTGGATGCCGGCTCAGTAGTTTAGAGGTTAGGCGTTCGTGCGCGAAACCGAAGGTCCTAGGTTCAACTTTCACGATCAGGATCATAAATGCGCACTGCTTGGGAATTCCATACAAAGATGAAATGGTCGTTCAGTGCTTTCAAGCTTTCGATGGTAGTCTAGCTTAGATCGACTAATGGATTTAACCATTAAATTTACTACAATCTCCACAAATCCCTACTCTGATAATTTAGTACTTATTAAGCGAGTTCTAAAGTTTATATTTGCTATCTGAAAATTCTCATCGATAGATGTGCATTCATTTTATTGATAATTAATTGACAGCTATGACTATCCGTAAAATTAAATGAAATGAGAATAAAAAGTTACTGAATATTTTATATAGTTAAAATCATAAGTCAAGTGAAGCTAGACCACTATGGAAAACATGGAAGCACTGGACGGCCGTTTCGTTCTATTGTGGGACTCCTCCTCAATGCGCATCCACAATCCAACCTCACGAAATTCGAACGCAGGACCTATCAGCCTCGCGCGCGAGCACTCAACCAATAGACCACTGAGCTAACATAAAATTACATTGATGTATACTCGAATAAAGAAATAGTGAAATATTTGGAACATCTTGCACTAAAATAGTTGACTTTAAAAAAAATTATATATATATATATATATATATATATATACTGGTGATGAGTTTATTTTTACTTCGATACCTAATGTCTTCAATGACTTTGATAAACATTTTGATATCATTTCCAAATATATGTTTGAAGAGAATAATTTTTGAATTAAAAGGTATTTTAATATAATGAGAAATGATATTGATGAATATATCACATATATATCATTTCACGCCACCATAACTTATTACCGCCTAGTATGAATTATTTAGGAATTCCAATCCTTATGAATTTCATATTTTTAAAATTAACGATGTTCACAATATCTAGTTTTCAGTTAAATTTCCGAATTTTATTAATACATACAATTAATCAATTTATTTTTTTGGGGTGGGGGAGAGGCAGAGTGAGCAGATGTTCCATGACAGTTTACCCCGATACCAATGTGTTAAATATATAGTTAAGGAAAAATTTCTATTTGGAGAAAAAAAATTTATCAATATATTTAAACTATCTTTTTCTGTAAAGATATTCTAAGAATAAGAAAAAAATTCCATTAATTTACTTTGACAAGGAAAAGTCAATGGAATTTTTGAAGTCTAGGAAATGATGTTAACATAATTGAGTCATTTATTTTTTATAGTTTTTAAGGTACACCAAAGAAAACATGATGTGAAATTGATGATTTTTCTGGGGAAAAAAACTAACTAAAATAATGTTTTAGTGAAATTGAAGACTAGTATCAAATGACTCATATATATATCGGCTTATTTTTATACTTTGATAGGAAAATGTTTATTTATTAATATTATCATTATTGTTAGTAATAATATTACTCTCACTGTTCATTTACTTAAATGTCAAGTATTTATATAAGGTATACTGCCAAGATGTAGGTGTACTGTTCCATATTGAAAAATAAACACAGCAAATATATAGGTAAATATGTTTACTATATTCTTGTTTAAATATAAAAGTAAGAGGTATACACTTAATAAATCTGTTATCAAAAGTAAAGCAGTATAAGTAATGACTTATTAAGTATCATTTCTTCCTTGAATTCATTTAGTACCTTCATATGTCTACGTATTTGCCAAAATAGCCAGTATATGCTAAAGTAATGGAAGATAATAACTACATTTCACGCTTTTTGCATGGAGTATTGATATTTAAACATCAGTCATTTATTATCAAGTTTGTTTTTATTGACTTAATTGTATACCATTGCCAGTAAAATAGTAATTGTGGTGTAAGCTTACGGATAATTCGATTATATTTTAGTTTACATTAAAGGGAGACATTAACTAGACAACATTTACAAATCAGGAATCAAGACATAGCTTTCTCACTTTAGTATGGAACACTTCAACATTTATAATTTATTACCCAAGCGTAAGTCGAATCCAGGACTTTAAAATCTCACGATGAGAGCTTAAACTTTAGATTATTATAACACTTGAAAATTACCAAAACAAGTTAATAACAACGCAAAAAATTTACTGAGACATATTGTTGATTTTTAACAATCACCTTCTGTTTGATCATATTCTGTTATTTGACTAAAAAGTATCCTTGAATAACTTTCATCAACAGAGAACTATTGACCATTAATTTTTGTAAAGGATTCTTAGTTAAAAGCATATTTCTTCTAGAATGACGCCGATTTTTTGAGTAATCTGGTTAGTAAGTTATTACAATTTAAAGGTCATATTTACATAATCTCACTCAATATCATAATATTATACTTTAAAATTTAAGCCATGATATTTGTTAAATGTAAGTTTTATCCACATATTGTTATGAATGTACAAGAGTTCTTTTTATCAATTCAAAAATGACCCATAATCTAGTAGTTCTGATATCATATACGTGAAACTAGTTTTTTCTTAATTTAAAAAAAAGTATGTTTGTTTCTAGGTAATACGTAACACCGTTTGAATTTACAACTATATATCTCTTGTGTAAATTGACTTGGTATTGTTTGTTTGAATCTTCTCATTGATGCTTAGGACTGCAATTGATCAGTCACTTGTATGATTATCCCTTTTAACATTTTTTATTGATCGTATTGATTTCATTAAATCTAAAAATACGAATAAATAAGGAATTATATATTGGAACTTAACTTTCTATCAATAGTTTCTTTGTTTTTACAAAATTTAATACAGATAACATTACTAGTTACCGAGTTATAAAGCAACAAATATTTATCAGAAGCTTCGTTCAGAAGAAAATATATTAGAACAAGTGTGAGTAACGTATCTAAACAAGAAAAAAAATCAGGCATTTATTTTATTTTTCTAATGATTTTTTTTACTCATTGTGATGTGAACGCAAGTCCCGTTTATAAAATATGTCTGTAAACAATCTTTTATATCTTTAAAAGAGCAATATGCCTTGAGGAAACTGAGACAAATATTCATTGTTGTAAAATTATATACAAAATATGATTGTTTCCATTGAACAGTACAAATATATTTAGCCTCGAGGCGTATAAATTCCCCCCCCAAAACCCAGATAATGTTATCAATGCATTTGTTATAATATGTACTTCCGTTTCCTTTTTTATCCTTTTCCTAGTTGTCTATTTGTTTTCGTATTCCCTTTAATTTTATACACCCTCACATCATCATATAAATACACATATATACACACACACCTACTGTTACATCATGACAAACATGAATTACAATCATTTCTGATAATTGAACTAGTCTTTAGTATATAACGTAAACAGGGCAATATACCATATAGGTAATGATAATATTTTAACTATTCGTTTAATTTTAATAGTAGTATATTAACAACAGAAAACATTTTTCGAATATGAATAATAACGTTGTTGTCCATTAAGTAATCATAATTCATTTGAACGAATGAATATTTTTTTTACTCCAAAATCTGTTCATATTATTTTTCAAATAAACAATGTTAATCATTTTAAACATGATATACAAAGACTAATAATGTTTTCATTGAATAAATAATCATAATAAAATAAACAAAATAAATTTTTATATTGGAAAATTTCAGAATTAGTAACTAACGTATATATTTCCTGAAATGAAGGACACATGGATATATACTCTAGAATAGAAACCTCTAATGGATTCATTCAGTAACCATAGTTACATCATAATGAACATAAAAAAAGGATATGCATTATTATAAATGTAGATAAAATTGATGTGTTTTAAAAAAAAGTTTAATGTGTGCTATCTTTACGCATTTAATAGACAACTATGATTGAGTTTGCAATGTAGAGTATACTACTTTACTCTAAAAGTCAATATCTTAGTTACTTAATAACACATGACCGTCTTTGGTATTACATAACACTTTCAACAATGTGTATTCTTCTATTGTGATAGGACGAAATGCTGGAAAAGAAAATTTTACTTTGAAAATTAGCTAAGAGTGTGTACAATTCGTGATTAAAACATATAGCTTCACTATTGACTAGATTTAAATATAGGAAATTTTTGGAGTTCCTGTGAGAATCTGTAATTTATGGATTTAACCAAGTATTGATGAAGATTGAACTGCACCATAAATTGACTGAGGTGGGAAACATAAGAAAATGGATCCTATTTTAATATTCCAAATTATATTTCATTATTTAGGAGATTGAAATGTTTTTGGATAATGTTCTATTTGTTCCCAATCAATATTAAGAAATACTAAATTTTAATGAAATATTTGTTTAGGTTTAACTTGTCTTTCAAGTCTTTACCAGCTTCGATTGTGTATTTATTAATAATAGAAAATTTCAGAAAAGTCTCTTCAAATTACCTAATACAATTAGGTATTCATTGTTTCAATCTATTAAGCTTTATCATCATTCATTAAAATAAGTTTTCTTGAATTCACAATTGACAAACCATCATTATCTAGAAGCACAGATGAATAGTGGCCTGTCGTGAAATCAAAGACTTGTGTTTCATCCCATTTAGGACTAGTCAGCTGAATGTACTTGCAGCCCAGAGTTGATGTTCACTCCGCAGCTCAAACCCAGTACCGTCCTCTTCAAACTCCATCGAATTATCCACAGGATATCAGTGTGAAGACTCAAACAGCCAATACAAAAAGTTAACTTTGAAAGCATTTACGAATGAACTATATTCAAAACGAAAAGATTATATTATTATAAGCAAACTTTTCAATAGCTATCCGAATAATGTATCTATTAAATACAATTAATAATATAACCTACAATTTATGATAGTGTTTTTATAAGAAAAAGGTTTACCCCCGACCATGTAGTTTATTAAAATGTAAACAGCATGATTGAAACGTTGTTAAAAAACTCTACTCTCTATTTTCACGCATACACATAAATAATATAAGAATAATTGTGAAATTTTATGAAAATACCACTCCCTACACATTTTGATGGGTTACTAATTTGGAAATAATACTGAGAATTATTATATACCGTGTGAAAATTTTCTGGTCAAATGAAAACGAGGGTTATTTTAATTTTTTGTTTTTGTTTTCAACAGTACACATTAAAAGGCAATTATTATAATCGTTTTGAAAAAAAAACTGTGATTTTTTTACAAGGGTCCAAATAATCTATCCGGTTATTGTCGTTTAAAACTTGTTATGTGGTAGGCCTAAAACATATTAGATTACCCCATTTATATGGGGTAATCTAACATGGTTCATTGTTCTTCATGGTAGGGATGAAAACAAAAAAATAAGGGTAGAATAAAAATCAGATGTGATTGAAGTGTGAATTTTACTTAAGTAATGTCAAATGAATTTTTGAGAAATTTTCAAAAATGACAATTGGATTCGATTTAAACACATTTAAATCAAAGTTAAAATCATGAGTCAGTGGAAGCTAGACCACCATCGAAAACCTGGAAGCCCTGGACGGCCGTTTAAATCAGTTATGAAATTGTATGATTCGAGTGTTAATGAGATTCGATAAACTAATGGCTATTTTTTATCATCTTGACAAGAGTATTGGAAGTATTTTTATTCATTGAAGATAATGAATTGAAACAAAAGAACCAGTAACTTATAATTTAAAATAAGTGGTAAACAAAATATAAATCTAAATATTATGAAATGTTCAAAATGATCACATTATTATTAATACCAGTGTAATTATAATAAACGCATAGATAGCTACATACATATACAACATTCATTTAAGCTTACTATACTATACAGTATATGTTATACATACAAACGAACACGGATTTCCTATTTTAATAATAAATTATGTCACGCAATACTTGATTAAGCAAGAGGAAACAATATACAGCTGTTATCTTAAACAAAAACATTCCCATAGGAACAAAGCTAAATATTTGATCTTGATTTTTATTGGTTAAAGAGTTCATCAATCGACACCCCTTTCTTGTGAAATGAAACATATTACATCAGTAATCTTGACGAAGTAAAGGTAAATAATTAATACCTTCTGAAAGGGATCTAGTGTAAGAAGACATTCACTTTTAGCTAAGTTATGAATATCATTCTCTAAGTGGTTCACTACTACGTTAGTTGCTTTTTCATTGAAAACATGTTATGAAGAAGCAGCAATGGATATTTGACCTAAACCTAAAAGTTTCTCCTAAAATATACTGTTGGTTGGAGTTGATTGATAATTAGTTTGCTGAAAATCATATAAAATTCTATTTCTTTCAAGATTTAGGTTTAAAATCTGTTTCATTCTAGTTCATATGTTCAATAATAATTCATATCTCTGTACATTGAAACAGTATGAAATAAAATTATTCAGAAGTATGTCGTTGTCGGTTTCTATGCATTGGCAAGCTGGATTTATAATAATCCATCTGAGAAAGATTATTCCCAGACGAATTTCATCTTGTCACCTTACAGTATGTTCTGCATTTCAGTGTGTTTAAAATAAATATACAAACCACTGTAGGTAATCGATAATATTCAGTTCTCTACTCAGTAAAGTTGTACAGATAACTGTTAAAAATGACCTCTGTCACGGGGACGAAGTCAGGGGATTTCATCATTCATATGCTGAACTTTGTTTCATAAATAAATGTAAATAAAAAGAGTTTTTATTAGATTACATTCATGATAAAAATTCCAAAGACATGCTTAATCTTATCCAATAAGAGAATTATCATAGTTTCAAGTCATGTAATTTTCTGCAATTCAGAGTTCAGCTCTCAACCTACTATCAACAGATTAACTGTAATGTTATTCTGAGCTGTTTTCATATTTAAACAATACTTTGTAATGGTTTCAGTTATCGAAATTAAAATGTTCGATACTGGTCTGCAAAAAAAAACATAATACACTTGACGATATGTTCAAAACAACTTTACTAATTATAAGCAAAGATGGATAGTGGCCTGTAGTGGAATCTAAGACGTACGTTTCGTCTCAATTGGGACTCGTCAGCTGGATGTACCTGTATCTCAGAGTTGATGTTCACTCTGGGACTGGAACTCAGTACCTTTCGCTTCAAACGCACTGGTACTGGGTTCGAGTCCCGGAGTGAACATCAACTCTGAGATACAGGTACATCCAGCTGACGAGTCCCAAATAGAACGAAACGTACGTCTTAGATTCCACTGCTGGCCACTATCCATCTTTGTTTATAATGTTTATGAGTTAAGGCCATATCGAGGCAATACGTATAGTATGAACATATGCCAAAAAGAGACTGATCGATTGCAGTGTTAAACATCAATGGGAAGATTCAAACAAACAATACGAAGTGAACTCTACTAATTATTTAAATTAATTTATAATTTTTTTCAGAAATGAATTTTTAGAAGATACTCATTTTTAATTAATAGTCTATAACAAAATTATATAAGTTTTGCTTGAATTTAACTAGGTACTAATAAGATACTACGTTTTTTATTTATTCTTATTATCATAACTGAAGTTCAGTTATATGTATTAATTAACAAAAGTTTTCTAATAGGTAGATCTATTTGAAATCAGAATAGAAAAAATTCGCATTATCCTGTGCACACTCAATAAATAACTTAGAAAAAATATAGAAAATACAATTTAATATCAGAAGGGTTTTTTTGGATATTATAGTAATTTTAATAGTTGAGATCATGAATCAGTTGAAGCTAGATCACCATGAAAAACTTGAAAGCACTAGACCTGAGTTCGAATCTCGCGAGGTTGGATCGTGGATGCGCACTGAGGAGGAGTCTTAGATATAGGACGAAACGGCCGTCCAGTGCTTCCAGGTTTTCCATGATGGTCTAGCTTCAATTCAGGATGTCAACTATTAGAAATACAACTTACTGAACTATTTTACAGATTATTTGTATAATTTAAAGTTTGTTTTAATCACCAAAATTTAGAAATGAATTACCATATTATTATTTGTAATAATTTGTCACTTTTTTTCTCTTTTATTATTATTTAGCTTTATCATTTGATCGAATAATAACAGAGAATAGACTTGTTTCACATTTGTATCATTGTCCATTTGATTTGAATAGAATTGAAGGAGAAGCTTGTTTACAAGTAAGTAAAAGATTTAATATATTATTAAATTATAATGAGAAAAATGAGAAACTAGGTCCTGGGTTCGAATCTCGCGAGGCAGGATCGTGGATGCGCACTGTTGAGGAGTCTTACAATAGGACGAAACGGCCGTCCAGTGCCCACAGGTTTTCTACGGTGATCTAGTTTCAAATGACTCATGATTTCAACTATAAAATATATTTCTCTTTAATATTTCATTTTATTTTTTACAAGTCAAAACAGTTTATTCAACTATTTCATAAATGAGGCTTTTTAATATAAATTCAATTTTTGTACATCTATCTACAAGTGATCAATTCACATAATGTTGATTAACACAAACTAAACACAATTTTAAAAAAACACTCTACAAAATTCTAAACAGTAATAAATGGTTTAATACGGTTGAATATGGGTAAATATTTGAAACAAATGGTGCTTATATTCTGTATTGTTTGTTTGAATCTACCCATTGATGTTAAGGACTACAATTGGCCAGTCTCTTATTGGTATATATACATCTTACGCGGATCGCTTCGACATTGCCTTAATTCACAAGCATTATAAGCAAAGATGGATTGTGGCTAGCAGTAGGATCCAGGTTGCGCGTTTCATGTTGACAATTTTAACAAAAAGTTTTATTCATAAACACTAACAGTTCTTGTCAACCATCTTATTTTAATGATGAAAGCTGGTATCTGATCTAGTCAGTCTTTTAGGATTTACATGTGAAACGATTTTATTATCAGATCTCTTTATAGTAGTACGAGATTATGATAAAACAATCTGAAATAAAGGGACGGTTCATACTATTCTGAATATAGAATCCCAAAGTTTGAGTTTAAAAGAAAGAATCTCCTAGACTTTCAATTGATTTATGTTCTGCAATCCAATATTTACACCATTAATCAAATTTTAATACGACTTCATACGTTTTATCATACAAATGATAAATTCTGCGGTTAAAACCTTTGTTCCATGGTAGTGGCATATAAATTCTAAATATTGAAAAGCAGGATTTTGGCACTCAAAATTTTCCAGAATACTGGTTGAGAATAGCATTTTTGCATAACGGATAAGTTGGAATCATTCTAAATATTTTAATAAATGGTATGTTGTTAAGCTATTCAAGTGTAATAAGGTGAAGATGTCAGATTTATAGTTCAAGCAAATTTCAACAGTACTTTGATGACTTGACGATATGGTAGCCATTCAAATTTACCTTCGAGATATTAGTTAGGAAGGTTTATAAAGATACTATCTAAATGTACTAACCAAATAGTAACCTCTACAAATGTATGATCATAAGCAATTTGTACATAACTAACGATGATTTATCATATATGATTAGTGAAACATACTTTACTCTGATTTTATTTCTAGGCTTTAAATGGATTTATATTTATTATGTCCTGTGATGGTGAAGTATTTTCTGTATCAAAAACTGTGGAGCATTATTTAGGTTTTCATCAGGTAAGTAAATGATTAAATTATCAATGAAATTACATTAAATATGATTTATATACTAAAGTGCTTGTGTATCAAATGAAACTAGTTTTTCTTTCATCATGAGTTGTCGTTCAAAACTAGTTAACCGATTTGTTATAGATTAAGATTGACCAAAAGCGTTGTACCTAAAGTTTCACACATGAGACAACAACGTGAATTATAAACTGTCACAATAAGTTTAATAGAATTAGATCACGCGTTTGAAACGCAATGATTGAAATTTTTGACTGTAGTCAATATGTAAATCTCATCAGATTTCACTGTTGAACTATCATTTCATTACCCAAGTTCCTGAATTCATATATAATAGCTTCTCAATAATAGATGGGGAAATATATTTTGAAATAAGTCATTAGTGTGCAAACACTAAGTTGATTCTGTGCAATTCGAAAATAATCGTTATGACATATAAAAACTTATATACATTTAATTCAAGTTCACTATTTCATTATCTAAAGCACAGATAGTTAATTATGGATATGATATCATATGGTAACATCTGTGACTGCAACAATAGATGTGGGTTAGAAACTTTATGTAAGTACAAAATTCATTTAATATTGCAATTAAACCTCATAGATGAATATAATCTAGTAAGAAATATAAATCTATGAGTTCTTACCAATCTCAGTCGTCTATTTAGAACGAAACAAATAGTGCCGAAATATTAATTCACTTAGTCTAATAAGAACATTACAAACTTGATTTATAGATGTCATCTATAAGGACTAGACAACCTGACATTGGTTGTCGTAAACTTACAAACCGTTGGTCTGTCTAAAATAACAGTTATGTTCATTTTTATTTCACTAGGTATCCTGTCTTAAAATTAGTCTTGTTTTACTATTACGTAGAAAATGTTTTAGGTTACCTTTCACCATATTTAAATGTGATTTGATGACTTAATGAATTTTCTAAAAGTTGTTAGCGTAATTTATAACAAAACAGTAAGTGGAATATGATGTGAAATACAATACAATAACTGACATAAACGACAGAACTATTCATTTTTCATCAGATTATGGATTACCAGAGTAGATGTCCTAATACTTACAAGCTGATTACATTTCGAAACATTTCCATGCATTGAGATCAGAATAAGAATTCAACCCTATATGATACTAATTGTTTTGTTAGGCATACAACCATATTAGCACTGGGAAAATACAAGCTCTTCAAAATTCAGTATAAACATCTTCATTTAACAATTGGTGGTTATCTGAACTCTACAACTTAGTGAATAATTCCTCGATATTTGAATCTATGGATACCGGATTCTGAACTCAGTAAGAATATGACGTAATCCAAGCGCTTACATATCCAGATCCATCTGAGAATATTTTAGTCTAACTGCAAAAATACTTTTGAAGCTAATGCGATTGCTCGGCAACAAGATTTCCTCATCATGAATACATGATTCATTCCTAATCATAACTAACGTTATATATTCTTCTGGAAATCAGAACGCACTTCATTTATAACTGTAACTCACAAAAACAGGATAAAATATCCATGAGAAATATCATAGTAATTATGGAAATCCAGTTAAATAATAAACTTATTTAATTTTTTGGTTTCTTATTAGCGCAATATGGCATTGTTGAACTCATTGAATATCATGTGTTGTATTTAGAGGCTTGACATCACCATATAGATAAACATAATAGTAGTATTACGTTTCGAGTAAACTCACGGCTTTTCTATTTTTCATGACAAAAGAATAGAATTCTAAAATCTGAATACAGGATAAGGGTTAACAGAAAACAACATTATACAAATAAGTTCATGATTATAGTTTTATTGATCCTGAATAAATGTATCTGTGACTTAGATTCATTAGTAAAAATATGTGTAGGACATCACCTGGTCAGGTGCAGAATCTTTTTCATACATATAATAGACACCTGAAGATTATTTCACTTTAGATTGTCTTATATCTATATGATTTTCACAAAGGGAAAGACATTCATTTTAAGAACTTTCTTCTAAAATATACTATTGTTAGGTTAAGAATTTACTCTAGAAATAAATATTACAATGAAATGAGTTAGGTCAAGAGCTTATGACACACACACACACGCACGCACCGGAACAGCTGATTTACATAAGAGAAACAATGTCTGATTATTCATTTGTATTTATTCAGTATAGTCACTTTGTGAACTCTTCAGTAGTTGTATGGAGTTTTGTTGTAATCGATCGCTTAAGGAAAACACAGTCGTTTTAATTTATTTTTGTCTAATGTATATAGTACAATAATAGAAATCGTATATTTATATGGTGTAAAGGTGTGAGAAGTTTTCATTTTGGATAACAACTCACTCGAGGTTAATAATAAACATTTGTTAACAACCATGTTAGAAAATTCTTTTGAATCTACTTGCAGGACATTGTGCTCTATTCTATGATTAAATTAAAAATCCTTTAATTTACTTCACTACAAATACGGTAATTGATTATCACGATTACTAGAGTGACTATTTCATTATACAATTTAAAACAATATAAAAATCTGTTTTACTTTACAGGCTGATATTTTGCATCAAAGTGTATTGGAATTGATTCATTCAGAAGATAGAGAGGAATTTCGTAGACAACTATCGTGGAAATCAATGCTTCCACCTGAGTTTCATTCATCTACATTACATGATCTGATGACTCCTGGTAAGTAATTAGAGGTAACAAGTTTCTTTAACTTAAAATACGAGACTTTTTTTAAGAAACCCATTTTTACAACATATCGGTTGTGCAAAAATCAAAACGCGATACTACGGATCATCGTTGAATAATGAATGGAATGCAACTCGTCCCTATATATCAACTTTCTTGATTATGAGAAAGCGTTTGGCAGTATGGATAAGAGAACATTATGAAAACTTCTTCGACACACTGGAGTACCTGAGGAGATTGTCAACATCGTACGGAATTTATACGACGGACTACAGTGCAAAGTGGTGCATGGAGGACAGATGACAGACGCATTTCAAATGAGGACTAGAGTCTGACAAGGCTACCAAGGCTCCATTTTTCTTTCTTATGAAGAATGACTGGATTATTAAGACATCAAATCTGACGGGAAGTAAGAACTACAATGGGCAGGTTGGTTGTAGTTAGACGATTTGGACTTGGCAGATGACATGACCCTTCTATCCCATACACACCAACAAAAGCAGGTCAAGATCAACAGCATGACAGGAGTCTTTCCATCAACAGGCATAAACATACATATGAAAAGAGCAAGATTCTCAAGTACAACACACAGAACACCATCAAAATCCCATTTGATGGAGAAGCACTGGAAAATGTGGAAACTTTAACGCATCTATCTGGACAGCATCATCGATAAACAAGGAGGATTCGATGCAGTCGTAAATGCGAGAATTGGTAAAGCAAGGACGGCATCCTTAAATTTCAAGAACATATAGAACTGGAAACAACTGTCAATCAATATCAAAGTCACAATCTTCAATACCAACACCAAGACAGTTCTACTACACGAAGCTGAAACTTCGAAAACTACCACAATCACAATCAACAATGGTAAAAGTATTTATAAACTATTGTCTACGTAAGATACTCAACATACATTGACCGGATATCATCAGCAAAAACCTACTGTAGGAGAGAACAAATCAGCTTCCATCTGAAGAAGAAATTAGGAGAAGATGATGGAAGTGGATAGGACACACATTGAGGAAATCGTTAAACTGCATCACGATGCAAACACTAACTTGTATTCGTGAAGGGAAGGAAAGTAAGGAAAAGAGGGAGGTGAAGGAAAACACTGTTTTGGGAATTGGAAGCAGATATGGATAGGATGAATGATAACTGGAAAGAACTGTAATTGATTGTCCATGACAGGGTTAGATGGAGAATGGTGAATGGCGGCCTATGCTCCTCGACGAGGCGTAACCGGCGTAAGTACGTAATTTTTACAGTATCATTCAGGACATCCGATAGTCAATAAAACACACCATTTAAACCTTGAAATAATTAAAAAGTTGAATATTCATAGAGCTACCTTTTATAAAACAATCCTTTAGTCCCAAAAGTTTTAAAAATTTCCTACTATTCTCTTTTTATTTAATTATAATTCTTGTAATTATCATTATTATTAATATTTAGAAAGGTTAAAAATCATTGTAATAATGCACCATTCATGTTTAATGATCAATGTTCATTTATACATTGAAATATTGCTTATTATTATATCATAATAAATATTTATATGTTTATCATGAATTTTTTCTTTTACTTATCCTTAACTATCGGTGAAATATTGTTTTATTATTATGTTTAATATGAGTAGATTTATATCGTAAATAATTCACAGAGGTTAAGCGTTCGCGCACGAGACTGAAAGATCCTGGGTTCGAATCTCGCGAGGCGGGATCGTGGGTGCACCCTGTTGAGGAGTCCCACAATAATACAAAACGGCCGTCCAGTGCTTCCAGGTTTTCCATGGTGGTCTAGCTTGAATTGATTCATGATCTCAACTATTGAAATTAATAGAAAACTGTTGGTCATTCAATAAAATAAATCAAATTATTAAAAGGGGATAAAGTTGAAACTATGAGTCAATTGAAGCTATACCATCATGGAAAACCTGAAAGCGCTGGACGGCCGGTCTGTCCTATTATGGGACTCCTCAGAAATGCGCATCCACGACCCCACCCCTAGACATTCGAACCCAGGACCTATCACTCTCGTGCGCGAGCACTTAACCGACAGATCACTGAGGCGACATCCAGCGGTGTTAATGTCTAACTTCAACCAATGGGTTCGAATCTCTTGAGGCGGGATCGTGGATGCGCATTGCTGAGTAGTCCTGTAATTGGACGAAACGGCTGTCCAGTGCTTCCAGGTTTTCCATGGTGGTCTAGCTTCAATTGACTCATGGTTTCAACTTTGAAAATTCTGAAATCTCCACAAAATCTCCATCTGATTAAGAATGAATGAATATATTTTTTTGATTCATTATTCCTCTGAATAAATGATAAACAAGAAGATAATATTCCATGTTTTACAGGTTCTTTTTCTTTTCTTTTTTAAAAAAAAATGGTGTGAATAGTTTTATTTTTACTTTTTCTCTCCTTTTCATAAAGATCATCACTAAGTTATTCTATCAACACATCATTGAAGAATGTCAATAGTAATAATAATAATGTAAAGAGAATTGATTGCTCTTAAAAGCTTTTTTTTTGCTTCTTTAATTATAAACCTTTTTATTGGAAAAGAAAATCATTTAGTGTAAGTCGTTTAACTTTCTTTTGCCTTTAGTAAGATGATAACAGTTTACTAATGAGTCGTATAGGTTTTTATTTATTTTATTCATTCAATTATAAACTTTTATTGGTGTGAAGTAAATCTAAGTTTTTTCTGTTACTGAAAAATGATGTTTTCAGTGAATAAGAAAATATTTTTTCTTTCTTAAGAAGTTTATTGAAACCATACATAGATGACAAGTAATTTGTATAATGAATCAACCTCCTCATCTGCTAAATTTATATGTAATTATTATATTTTCAAATTAAGTGAACTTATACTGACTAACAAATGTATTAAGTGCTTACTTTTTTACGCCGGTTACCCCTCGTCGAGTAGCATAGGCCGCCATTCACCATTCTCCATCTAACCCTGTCATGGACAATCAATTACAGTTCTTTCCAGTTATCATTCATCCTATCCATATCTGCTTCCAATTCCCAAAACAGTGTTTTCCTTCACCTCCCTCTTTTCCTTACTTTCCTTCCCTTCACGAATACAAGTTAGTGTTTGCATCGTGATGCAGTTTAACGATTTCCTCAATGTGTGTCCTATCCACTTCCATCATCTTCTCCTAATTTCTTCTTCAGATGGAAGCTGATTTGTTCTCTCCTACAGTAGGTTTTTGCTGATGATATCCGGTCAATGTATGTTGAGTATCTTACGTAGACAATAGTTTATAAATACTTTTACCATTGTTGATTGTGATTGTGGTGGTTTTCGAAGTTTCAGCTTCGTGTAGTAGAACTGTCTTGGTGTTGGTATTGAAGATTACGACTTTGTTATTGACTGATAGTTAATTGGAGTTCCATATATTCTTCAATTGTAGGATTTTAATAAGTGAGATGCTTAATTTTTTCCATTTTATATTTAATAAATACAGAGTTTATTTATTATAATAATTATGTTAAGAGATAATTTGAATATCTAATAAATTCTGTTCATTTCTTTTAAATTTATTTTTATTTAGAAACTGCTCATTACTTAAAACGTCAATTCACGGTACGATTTCGATGTCTTTTAGATAATACATCTGGATTTATTGTAAGTTATCTATGTTTAATCCCATACATTGATTAAAATTTTACTTTTCTTGCCTCAAAATTATATACTATGGTGATGAATTTATTATAATAGATTTCCTGAACTAATTTTCTAATATATATATATATATATTGAGATGATAGCTTTCTTATCTATTGTATACATTTGTTCTTATATTGGTATATATTGAATCAGTTTAGTGTAGTGATTTAAAAATCACATATCTATCTATGGAGCATTTTGTAAGACTTCTGTAAATAGTTTACTTTAATGATTTACATTTTGATTAGAACATTATAAAATGATAACCTTTAAAAGTTTTGATTAAATGTTAGATTAAAGAATAAACTAACACCAAAATCCTTCAACTAATCTACTTATTAAATGTAAACAAATTGTTGAATGTTCACTTGTAACTTCTATGTCACCAGTTATTGTTTAATATGTACATTGGTTCACTTTAAATTTACCAGGTGATTCCGGAAAATTCTCAGTTATATATGCTATTGTGAATTTTCAAACTATATAAGAATTATAATACAGATACTACTTTAATCCTTAGCCTAATGGATTAAAAACTGATTGTTAATAACATTTGGTTTGTTAACAGTTGGTCTAGAAGTAAATATAAATTAGTTAACATATTTAAAGTAATTTTATAATAAATTTACTCAGAAAATGTATTCGATCATATATATAGAGTACGTGTTAATTTTTTTAGACACTCGAACTTAGCGGTCGATTGCAATTCCTACATGGACAAGCCAGAAGTATGCAGTTATCTGTTAATTCTGAACAAGCAAACTCATGTACCAGCCAAAATATATCTAATAAATATAATACATCTTGTTCATATACTGTATCAACTTCTAATCAACACAATTTACCGCCTCTTGGTTTTTTTGCGGTCTGTAGTCCATTAGGACCATTACCAAGTTTAAATGGTCCACAACGTGATGCAACTTTTAAAACAAAGCATCAATTAGATTTGACTGTTATAACAATAGATGCTCGGTGGGTTTTCATTTTGTTGTAAATTGTGTTTGACATATCGCATGCAATTTTAGAACACAGAAATTAAACGGTTTGATATAAAACTTTATTAAAGTTGTTTGCTTTATAGTTTTTTAAACTCCACTCCAAATTTTCCTATGAAATACAGATATTTTTTGGAGATATTTCAGACACATGGTAGACTGGAAGACTATCCAACTGACTAATCAATTTATTAAAAAGTTAACATTTAATTTCGCTATATATTTTTCAAAGCTTTACTTTATTTTCATGGCTTACCCCAGTTGTTTTTATGTATAAGTCGTCTAAGCTAATTCGCAACTGATGTAAATGAAATCACATCTATTTAGAACGAACTAACTATCTACTGATTCAGAAACATAAGCACACTCTGATATATCATGGGTAGATTGTAGTTGGACGTTAACACCGCTAGATGCCGACTTGGTGGTCTAGAGGTTAAGCGTTCACGTACGAGACCGAAGGTCTTGAGCTCGAGTTTCACGACCGGGATCGTGAATGTGCACTGCTGAGGAGCCCTACACTAGGGTGAAACGGCCATCCTACCTACGGCCAAGCTACCTTAAAAATAGAAAGCTTATTATAAATATTTTGTTGAATATTCACCAAAGAAAGTATATTTAGTTTCATTTTAGTCCACAAACTGTTTATGATCGAATGAGCTGTATTTTATAGATGATAATTCTTTAATTACTTTTGATGTGATTATTTTTAGAATACTTTCTATAATATCATCAGCATATCTTAATTACTAGCTGTTAATTGCTATATTTGTATACATTTTTTTATAGCGCTCGACTTATATTCAATTACTCTGACAGTGACTTACAAAATTTCAAAGTCTATGACTTGGTACACCCAGACGATTTACGTTATGTTGCTAAAGGACATAAAGAACGTAGGTTAACAAATATTTAATATTACTTTTCAAATATTACATTTTTCCTTTTATACGACGCGCATTCATGAAATATGTTATTTTATCTGATTAAGTATCATTCAGATGTACAAAAAAATTTCAGCTGTTTGGGTTCGTGTCAATCAGTTTTACAATGAATGGATTTTTAACTTAAATGTTGACACCACGACTATTCTCATGTAGGACTGAGATATTTATACTGGTTGATCACAGAACACTATTCTATTTCATATTTATCTAGTCCTTACTGCTGATAAAATTCGACAAGAAGTCAACAGAATTTTTAATAAATCAGTGGCAAAATTTTCAAATGTGATACTGGGTGACGTGTTTTGAGAATCCACGGAAATTTGAAACGTGCCTTATTATCGGGTGCCAAATATCACATAATCAAGGCTGAGGCTGTTCTTCTTAATGCTGAAATTTCGCTTAAATTATATACATTGTTAGAAATATGCACTCAAGAATGAAATATGCAGTAAATTGTTAAAACATAGAATTGATTTAACTAGTTTTCAAAGTTTAAGTACCAAGATAATACAAATAACTTTTTATGTTGACAGTTTTTAAAGTAGGTTCACTTGGCTTACTTGTACATCGATGGTTGAATAAAAATTCTCAGTGGATTTGGCTACAGTCACGAATAAAACTTATTATGAAAAACGGTAAACAAGATCATATTATTGTGATACACCGACAATTATCGTAAGTTTCAATTTTAATATATTACGCTTTGTTTCAAGAATACTCATGATCAGATAAATGTAAATTACTTTTATTGAGTTTAAACTTAATAAATCAGTATTTATTGAGATGAGTTGATAAACGACAAATGGTATTTTTACATTATTTTTCACTGTGCTAATATTTACTAAAAAACCAAAACGTTGAACCTTTTACCTGTTGGTAGTGTTTGGTATTCTGATCTACATGGTTTAATTACTGAGATTTCATTTTCATTTTGGACAAAATATTTGGCGCACACTTCATATATAAGTGAGCTTTCTAGTTATTCCCGAAGTGTGATATCAACTCATTCTGATAGCCTTGTTTATGATTAGTTGTCCTCGTAGGTTTCACTGTTTCCATTTGCCTTTGTATCCATTTTGACAGTTTTTGTTGGTTGACCTCTGGTCTTATGAGTGATTGAACACTTCTGTATTGGTTCATAGATCAGATTAGTGTCAGTGCATCTGTTGATTCATAATTGATCTAAATGCCGTGCTTCTAGAGATTTCCTGATATTTTTTGAGTTACCTCGATCAAACCTCTTCAGGTTTTTCCAATCGAATTAGTACTCATGGTTACCTTCATGCATTGATATTAGTGATAACATATCATGTCGTCTTACTGTTAATCTATGTTTATTTATGCCAAATTAAAGTGTGAAGGGTCACCTGAATTCAATCATTACCGTTTACTGACAGTTTAGCTATTACAACTATTTTCCAATTAATCAGATATAATGTTCATGAATTCCAACATATTTGTCATTCACCTTTTTCAAAAGGATATATAAAAAGAAAAATACACCAAGAACTGAATTTTTCATTATGTATAACATTTCAATAACTGTAAACATTTTTTTCATAATGGCGCCTGGAGCTTAATAATTAAAAAGATCTTGAAGACTATGCTGTTGTCATTGTAACCTTTGGAAATTCTAATTCATAAGTTTTATTTGTGTAATCAAACATCGAATCATATTCTAGAATCCACTACAAGAAACTACTCTTAAGATTCATCGAGTGATCGCTGTCGAACACCAGATCAATGGAGTAATTAAATAAAAATGTTTTTCTGCTACTGATTAAAATTATAGTCAATTTAGCTTAACACTCATTTATATTAATGGAGACAATAGGCTATGAACTAATAAAACTAAAAAAAATATCTGAATACAAATAACTTATTCATTGGTTCATTTTTTCGAAACATTTTAGAAATGAAGAAGGGATGGAATTATTGATACGAAGAACAGATGAATACAAACTACCTTTTCCATTACTTGAACCAGAAACTTTACTGAATGGTGAAGAACTGACAACATGCAATAATAACTTACATATGGATATCAATTCATCTTTCCCAATTGGTCAAATGAAAAATTTTGATCATCATCATATCCTTGGAAGTAATGATCAAAAATTATACGGATTTAATGTAAAATCTGACGATAAAATTAATTTAAGCTCAAAGCATACACCAGAACATTTCTCTAGCTTTGATATATCCGGTAGAGTTCATAGTAGACACTCTACTGATACCATCAACAATTGTATACAAATGGAAAGAGGAATTATTAGATCAACAACGAATAACTATGATGATGATTTTCATATATCTGGACTTGACACTAATTTACTTGAACATTGTCTTAATAAATCCGCTAAACAATCTAAGGTTACTTCAGCTACTGTTCTACGTAGAAAAAGGACAATGAAAGAAATAGCTAAATCTGAAGTTAATAAATGTAAACTTAATCATCGTGGTTCGTGTACTACTGCATGCACATATGTGTCAAATGCCCAAACTCCTGGTCAAATAAATTATGGTACGAACATCTGTCAATCTACCTATCTCCCACTAGGATTTAATCAAACATTATCAAGAGATAGTGAGGCGTTTTATCGAAATCCTTATTTATGTTGGCCAAGAAACACCAACATGGCAACATCAGAAAATATCAATTCAAATGGATCAGACAACTCAGAACACATTCCTCAATTAAATTCAAGTAAAGTTGGTTTATTCATGATAAATTCACATTATTCGAGTCAAGATTTAAATGAATTTAATATGCAAGATTATTGTACAGCAAGAAATTATCCAACAGCATATGATGCTTACTCAGCAGCTGTTGCTGCCGCCGCTGTTGTAGCAGCTGCAACAAACAGTTGTAATCAGAAACATCAAAGTCAAAATCATCATAATGTATCGCTTCCTCAACAATATCAATCACAACAAACTTTAGATCAAGAAATAAGACATTATCGACAACATGGATTGAATTCATCACATTTTTTAACAAACACTAATGAATCAAACACTCTTCGTTTTCAACAGACGATAAATGATCCTAGAATATTTGATTTGCAAAGAAGACAACAACATTCACAGATAGAATATAATTCATCATTAATTAAACAACAAGCCATAGTATCTTCTAGCATTCAATCTCCGTTAAATAACTGTACTAGTTATATTTTATCAAATCATTACTTTCCACAAGAACAGCCAATCAATATACAAAGTTTAAGTAAGGCTTGCATACAATCTAATGATTCATATACAAAAGAATTTCTGAAGCCTAGACATTCAGATTCATTGAACAGTCTTCATCAATCACAAATTGAAATCGAGGTAGAAAATAATAATTCCAACATTAGTGATAATAACAACTGTTGTAATAAGTTAGGACAATCAGTTTCATCTTACACATCTATGAATGTAAACCACTTATTCTCAGAAGACGATTACAGAAATGAGTCAACATATGAGCAAAAAGATACTTCAGCCAATATGTACTTGCAACATAATGTTGAACAAGGAATAATATATGCTAATCCAATTATCGACAAAGAGTCTTCATCAACATATTCATCTTATTCATCTCCACCTAATTTAATAAGCCCACATAACACTGAAATTGGCCTAGAACCAGATTCTGGAATCAGTCAGCATCAACAGAGACAAATACAAAGTTCAACAATGGTAAGAATTAATAGTCAGTTCGTTGATCCGAATAACAATTCATCGAATTCTTCAAAATGTTCTCAGTTTTATGATTCTAACTGCTCTACAAGTAACTGGACTATAAATCCTAGTCACACCAATTATAATCAAGTAACAGAATATCATTCTAATGAATGCTTGTCAGATGTAGACTGTGGAAATTATTATTGTAACCCCAGAGTTTTATCGCTCGCAATGTCCATGGATTCATCAAATTCTAGTGAATCTCCTACATCACATGATACATGTGTTGGTCAACAAGATAATAAGTTGCCTAAGACAGGAGCCGAAAATGATATTTTTCCTCACAAAACTAACAAATCTGGATCAAGGTCTTGCAGAATGAAAACAAATGACAGTTCCAAGGTTGAAATGCCTTTATTTTCTGAAATAGATTTTGGTGATCAAAAGCAGGATTTATCAAATTCTCATATACTTGGAGTTAAACGCTCTAAATATGACTCCACGACGAGATGGGATGACCATCAGTAAGTTTTCGACAATAATTTAAATTTATTGTTTTCAGAACACTAATGAATTATAGTAACCTTATCTTAACTTGCTGATAAAATGAAAATCTTATCAGATTACGTCAAACAACTTTATCTATAGTTTGTCTAAGAGACTAATATTATGTGCTTTTATGTGATAAACAATGCTAATTACTTTTGAGATGGTGGAGAAGATTTGTAGCTCAGGTGGGTGATTTTGATGTTGGTTTGTTCTCTGAGCTGGGTAGTTTGGTCTTGGAGCTTTCATCGTCCTTCTGAACGACATCATCAGCACAAACTTCGGGTAGAAGTGAAGTGTCTGAATTTCTCCACATGTGATTCACAGCTTGTCCTCTGCACCTAGATGTTGATTGGTTCTTATTGACCTTAAATCTGTCATTGTTTATTTCTTTGTTTTGGTACAATTTATCTTGTAGATGATGTTTGTTTTGTCCTCTTTTGCTATTTCATCTTTTGGTTTGCATAAGATTGAGTGGAGGGACTTTGTTGGTTTGTGGGCTACACCTATTCCGAAGGTTCTCAGCAGCCTTGTTGTCGTTTCCGATATGCCTACCTTCGGAATAGGTGTAGCCCACAAACCAACAAAGTCCCTCCACTCAATCTTATGCAAACCAAAAGATGAAATAGCAAAAGAGGACAAAACAAACATCATCTACAAGATAAATTGTACCAACTGCAACAAACACTATATTGGACAAAGCGGACGCCCCCTGCACCTTCGCCTACATGAACACCAATTAGCAGTCAAACGTCACGACATTTCTTCACTCATATCAATACACGTGGACAACTACGGACATACATTCGACTGGGAAAACGTGCAGATTTTGGACAGAGGCAATTCCAAAAATACCAGAGAATTTTTTAGAAGCTTGGCACTCAGGTCAATCAGCAATAAACAAACATATTGAAATCAATCCAATCTATCAACCAATCAAGAAAATTATGCAGGAAGATAGGAACAAAAATCAAACCAATAGGAGATACAACCAAAACAAAGAAATAAACAATGACAGATTTAAGGTCAATAAGAACCAATCAACATCTAGGTGCAGAGGACAAGCTGTGAATCACATGTGGAGAAATTCAGACACTTCACTTCTACCCGAAGTTTGTGCTGATGATGTCGTTCAGAAGGACGATGAAAGCTCCAAGACCAAACTACCCAGCTCAGAGAACAAACCAACATCAAAATGCTAATTACTTTTAGAAAATTGTAATTAAGTAGTTGAACATAATTCCTGTGGTTTGTATGAAATAAAATGATATTACTTTTACATTTTAAGACCGTTTATGGTTCATTCAAAAATGATAACATATTCCATGTTTTTCAAATGACAATTTCCAGCGAACTAAATTAACCACTATCTAAGTTGATGTTTTTTCTCTGGTTAGTAATCAACTAGGTTGGAAAAATACAGGAGTAACCAGAACAAGATATAGGGTCACTTCATGAAATTACTGGGTATTGTTCTCAACTATATTTAAAAGCAAAGACTTTCAAGTTCTTAGTTTGTTTTTGACTGAATGAATTGATTAATGTTAAGAAAGTTTCGTCAAAATAACAATATCATATTAATTATAAATGCCTTTTTCTAGAATTTGCATGTGTGCTATAAGCATGACCACTTCACTAGTAAGATAATGATGTCTTGTCACATAATATAATACTCTGATATTTATTATTTTAATTTTAGCTATGATGATTCAAAGTCAACTGCCATCCCTGTACCTGTTGTATGTAGCGGTTCTTTGAACATTGTTTCTGAAGAATCATCACAGACAGTAAGTACTTATAATTTATACTAAGTTATTTCTTAGTGCTATTAGTGAATGTCATCAACACATTTCGACTGTGATATAGTTCAAATTCGTTTAAACTCGGTTAATAGATAAAACGTTATTTTAATAAACTAATTTCGTTTACACAATTGATGTGAAAATATAATTCCGACATTAGAGAGCAATTTTTCTTTCTCAAATAAAATTCAGAGATATCATACAATATCTATGATGTAGAGAGGTACGAACGAAACATTGTATTGTACTAAATGACCAAACTATAGCATTGATAAATATCTATTCACCCTGTGATAAAATGACAAAAAACTGTGAACTATTCTTGTGTGAGAACTGGATTGTCCATTCTGTATTCATATATTTGTAATTAGTACTACTTATTATCCTGGTTGACACAATGGACTGATCTTAATCAGAAAACTTTTAAAAATTAAGAAGCAATGAACAACTACTTCTTTCTAGGATGAGACTCCTCAGAATTAGACATCCATGGCTTTACCTGAGGTCAAACCCAGAGCCTTCGTACTCATATGGTAATGTTTATTTTCAAATAGAAAAGTCATGCTAATGAAAATGATTCCTAAAATTTGTAAAAAAAACCTAAAAATATCCTTATATGCTCTTAATAAGAATTGATGTTTAATTTTTTTAATTTAAAAAAACCGACAAAGAGTTTTTATTGCTTATGCATAAAAAAGTCTTAATATTTAATCAGAATGGTATTCGTTACAACTAGGTTACACCATATCATTTGAGCATTTAAGATCCCTCCAAGCTTTTGTATATACTTTCATAGTTGAAAATTAATTTAGTGTGAACAGTGAAGACTATGTAGCAGACGTTCATCGTTAAAATAAAAGTTAAGTATTTTTTTCCTGAATAGTATGCTGAATTCACACTAATAATTATGGCATTATCTTTGTTTATTGATATATGTATGTTTTCTTACTTCGGTAACTGACAAGTGTTCTCAATTCTGTTCCTTCTTTTTTCCTAGTCTACCTAAAATCCATTTACTTTGTATAAAAATTGTTTTTTAAACTTTCTTATTTCCCATTCATCATTAGACAACATCAGGATCATATTCTTTTAAGTTGTTTTTGATTTTCTAAGAAAAATTAACCTTGAATTTCGCTTTCGTTTTCTCATTAAAACAAGAAAAAGAGAAGAGCACGAGAAGAATTATTTAACTTTATTTTTAGCCACCTGCTCATATTTAAATAACTGAGGATTTTTAAAGAAATTAAGTCTGCTTACGAAAAATGAATGAAAGAAAAGGGGGGTATCAAAAAAACTTATGAAATGATTGACTTCAGTTATAAAAAGGAAGGAAATCTGATGAAATCCACATCCTTTCACGCTTATTATCATCATAAAATCTTTATCGAGTTGTTAAATAAGGTCATCATCTAACTTATACACATCATTTGACGTAAGGTCTAGAAACGTTTCGAATATTTCTTGAAAGCATTAAATAATTTATTCCATTAATAATAGAGTAAAAAATTGATAGCAAACAGTGAATAATTCATAATGTCTTATACAAGAAATTAAGTTGAGAAAGGAAGATTGGCATTCTGTTTATTCTCATAACATCGAAAATGGATAAATGTTGTTAAAATGAGAATAAGAGATTTTTTACAAAACCGTTTATTTACTATATTAGTTACTTACTTAATTACGCCTGTTTCCCCTTGTGGAAGAGCATATGCCTCCCATCAGCATTTTCCATCTAACTCTACCATAGGCAAATATTTCATATTGTTTGCAGTTTTTATTCATCCTTTTGTTGCATTACATATCTTACTGCAAAAAAATATAAACGAGATAGTCGAGTAAAAAGAGCAAAAGACTTGTACAGTACATAGTTATAATTAAGATCTCATCTTTTGAATATGCTCTATATGGTCTTATTTTATACAAGAAAATAATTACTATTACTAGTGAAATTCGATTTTAACTGAAACAATTAGTCCCAATATCTTTTATTCATATTATTATTAAATATTTTGGAGTTCCTGTTGTAATGAACATTGGTTATAATAAATAAATAATCTATTTGTAATATCCTAATGAGTAGAAGAATCAGATTTTCTGACGTTTCGTGACTCACTGTAAGCCACTTCTTCAGAGAATAAATAACCAAATTAACATTAGTCCAAGTTTAATTAGGTTATATATTTTCTGAAGAAGTGGCTTACACTGAGTCATGAAACGTCAGAAAATCTAATTTTTCTACTCATTAGGTTATTACAAATAGATTATTTTTATTTTTCACAATCTACCCAATGCTCAGTTTATTCAAAGTTATCAAATCAAAATTTGGTAATGATACCTACATTGGTTATAATAAATTAAATCAAGGACTTCTCGGTTACGGATTATGTAATATGTCCTTTTTGTTATTTATTTCTTCATTGAATATGTAATTATATTCACTTAAATTTACTAAATTATATAACTTTTTAATAAAAAAAAACTTATTTCATTACCTAATTACTTATTTATTTATTTATTGATAGAATTCAGTAAATACATCTGGAATACACGCAACATTATCAGATTATAGAGAAAGATTATTGAGTGCAATTTAATTTCTCCAATCAAATGTATTATCTGTTTATAACAAGAATGATAACATGTATCATAGAAACAAAAACAAACAAAACAAAACAAAACATGAATGAACATATACCAAGATAGTACAACAGGACAACACAATTTATTGAGACCTGTTTTCTGATATACCAAGATTATTTACTTTTTTTGTAAAATAGAATATTCTGACAATAGTTCAATAATAAATTTCTCCATAACATTTAATTTAATAATTTAATAATTTTTGATTTCATCATATTTCTTTATGTCAATATCTCATTTACATTATTTTACTTTATTTACTTAGTAACTATTTATTTGTTTTGTTTAAATCATAAAAAAATCAGTCAAAATAGATGATAGATTAAAATTTTCTTGAGCATAATTTGATAATGATCAAAAACTTTTCTTTTTTTTCTATTTGCTTATTATCACATTAATCAATGAAGATAGATCATTTGTTTATTGTATATAAATATTGGAAATAATTATCCAATCAATTATAATGAATACAATATTATTGATTCTTGTAAATTAATCAAATCAACCTTTTTAAAAAAATTATTTCCTTTGATTCTGTTTAACATTTTAAAGGACTGACTTCATCCTTTTTTTGTTGTAGTCGTTGTTGTTTATATTCATTAATAGCTATTAAATGTTATTATATCCTGTTATGTACTGAATATTAAACAATGATAATTTTTCAGTACTACTTTCTATTATTATTCGTTTTTATAAATAACAATTATATATATATATATATATATATATATATATGATCTATACTGATTGATCAATGAGTAGTAGCCAATATCATGTTTGCTAGTTTCGTTATTGCTCGAAAAATTCTGTCTTTCAAGTTGCGTTGTTGATATTAGCCTTGCGAATTGGTAGTCATTAACAAGACATACATACAGTAATAGACTACTGTCTCTTCCTTTGGGGTATGGTTCTAACTCACTCATGATGAAGGTCCTAGATTTTAAGACAGAGTTTGGCTGATCGATTGATATAAAATATTTACATTGTCCGAATATGTTTGTCTAGCCCTTAATGCTGACCAAATTCTACCTATCAATTTCTAATATAACTATAGACTTTAAAACGATTCGGATTAGACAGTCAAAAAATATTTTAGATATAACAAGCATTAACACTATATATATAGCAGAATTATTGCAGCATATCGTAAAAGTGAATTCTTATTCATCTGATTTGAAACTTGACAGTTTTAAGGGGTGTATCGATTGAAGAAAATCATAGAACATTGTTTAAGTAAATCTTTTTTGGTCAATTTCAGAAGGCTTTGGTAATGTTACTAAAAATCTACTATTTTTATATGAAGCTGAAGAATAACTGATTTCAGAAGATTACAGAATGCAATCAGTTTATATGAAGATATCGAATGAAACCAAGTATATCAATAAAAAATATGCTTAGTGGTTCTCTATCATTTCTCTATGGTTTTCTCCAAATTCAAAGGGTAAAATCAACCTTGAAAAATATTACTTTGGAAAATTGACAACTTTTCTCGGAGAGTAATTATTGTTTCGGAAAAAAGTATTCTGATACAAAATAATATTCAGTTCATGACATTTACGGGCCATGTGAATGGTTTGGAAAAACGAACTTCCGGGTTTGCAGTAGTCGTCTAGCTTTGATCACCTCGTGATTTCAACTTTGAAAATACTAGAATCTCCAAATATATATATATATATATATATATATATATATATATATATATTTCATAGTCATCCCTAATATAAATAGATCCCATGAAACGACTACATAAATAAGTATTCATATCAAAATACATTTTATAGGGTTAAAACAACATGAAAGGAAAATAATATTTCTCACCATGAATTGACCAATGATTAAGATAACGGTTACAAAATTTTGATCAGACATTTTAGGGCCAGTAAATCAGAATCATTGTAATACCTGGGATAAATATATATAAATTCAATTAAAAGACCATTAGAGGAATATTAAAACTGATGGTTGAATATTTATTATATAAACTGATTTTAAAAATTGAATAAGTCAATAATTAAAACGAACTGTATTCAACTGCTCAGTCATACTTACAGAAGGAAAGATGACCTCATAATAAATGAGGTCATTATAAATTAATTTCAATATTTTTACAGTTAATTTAATTTTTGAAGTTTTTAGTGAAAATCTATCACATTTATAAAGAGCTTAGTGATGTGGGAGACAATAAATCACCGATACCATTGCATTAATGTTTATCAATTAGATTTAAAGTATAGACCACTGAATTTTTTAACAAGGTGATTTAAAAACTGTTAAAATTCCAAGGTCCGTGATTATACTTTATGTATGACTATGGCTGCTTTAAACACAAGTGACTAGCCACCGAATACTCCTTATAACCCTGTTGCTTCCCAGCAAATGAAGATTGATCAACATAACATAATTAAATAAATAAAACCGTATTATTTCTTGTTTGCAGGTGATAAGAAGCAATAAATTTATATATATCATTTCTATTACATAATAATTCGTTAGTAAATATATGTTCAAAAAATCTCTTCCACTATTTTACAATTAATTCAAATGTATATAAGGTGTTCATAAATGCTTATTTAATTATAAAATTATAAGAAGGGGGTTTTGTGGAGATTTTAGTAAATTTTATATAGTTGAAATCATGAGTCAATTGAAGCTAGACTACCATGGAAAACCTGGAAGCATTGGATGGCCGTTTCGACCTATTGTGGGACTCCTCGACGGTGCACATCCACGATCCCGCCTCGCGAGATTCGAACCCAAGGCCTATCAGTCTCGCGCGCGAACATTAAACCACTAGACCACCGAGGTACTGGGTTTGAATCTCGTGAGGCGGGATCGTGGATGTGCACTGCTGAGGACATCCACAATAGGACAAAACGGCCGTCCAATGTTTCCAGGTTTTTCATGGCGGTCTAGCTTTAATTGACTCATGATTTCAACTATATAAAATATTATAGTAAATTTATCAATATCTACATCATACTGTTTTCAGTATGTCACAAAATAACAAATGATGTTTGTTTGATATCAAACTTGAATGATCTAAATCTTTATTACTGAATAAAATGAAAAAAACATTTAAGAAATGGGCCTATTCATTCAGTCAATTTACATGAACTTATTTTGTTTCTTTTTTTCTTTTTATATTAAAAAAATCACTAAAAAACCCAATTTTTTTCTCTCTAAACTGTTTAACTGAATTATCGCCTATATTAATTTTTTTAAAATAGAAAATTCATTATTTGTTTTTAATCTTTTCAAATTATCTTAAGGAAAGTCAATTAAAGCGGATGAAAATAAAAGTGAAACGATAAAACAAAAAAACAACAAAAAAAACAAAAACAGATGAAACTCAAAATTATTTTTTCTTAAGAAAAATAATAAGTTTATGAATACACTTGCTCGTTTTTATACTTACAAACATACTTGTATAACAAACACTAACACACCCACATGCATACATACACATACATACACAATACACCAGATGGTTCATATATGTATAACAAAAAATAAATAAATAAACCAAGGTTAAAACATCTTTTATTTTTCAACAAACTTAGAAAGTTTAACACCTAGTTGTTTATTTTTTTCTCTAACGATAAAGTGGATGTGACTTATTTTGTTGTTGATAATTTAGGTGAAAAGTAAAATTCATTCTTTAAGATTTGTGTCTGATAACCAGCTTTAACTAAAATATTCGTATGTACATGTGTGTGTGTGTGTACGTATATTTGTTTTTATTTTCTATATTTTATGTTACACATTCATTAATTTATCTTTCATCAATTAATTTCTTCTAGGTGTTCATTCTTCTCTTCTCTCATTTTTTCTCTCTTTATTATATTTAAGAAGAAGGGAGGTGAATTTATTACGGGTGAAGGGAAGTCAACTTGATGAAATATATCAGAAATTAGTCCTTTGTATCTAAAAAAATAGTAAAACTTCATATGTGAAGTTATTTTTTTAGATCATTTGTTTATGATTACCCTATGATATATATATGTATATATATAAATTTTTCGGGTGAAGTATATCAACGCCTAAAATTTTGACTTAAAGCATGTAAGAAAGATGGTTGCAAAATTAATTTACATTTGAAATCTTCAACTGTAAAATCATGTTTACATTTAAATTGGATTGCTTATTTCAGTTCAATTGATATTGAGTTTATTTTGCTTTGTTTAGTAACAAAGGGATTTATATGATCATACAAAGAATTACAATTAAAAATATTTAGTATATTTTCACGCTTTTTAGTAAACTTAATTTAGTAGTAGTTTATATCAGTAGGGTCCGTAAGCTAATAATGAACAGAATAGGGTTGTCGAGGTTAATGGATTTCATTAAAGTCATGAACCGATCTAAGCTAGATCACAAATGAAAATCTATAAGCACTGGACTAGCTTTTAGAGAAAATTTCTGGAATCTTAGTAAGAAGCTGTGACGAGTGGAGTCAATCCGTGTCCGGTATGAGGCAGTTGCTCACCGAAGACAATGAAAGATGGTTGAGCAATATCGCAGAGCGGTTGAGATTATACATTACCACTATTGGATGCCAGCTCCTTGGTCTAGACGTTAAGCGTTTGAGCTCAAAACCGGAGGCCTTGAGTTCAATTTAAGGTTAAGATAACGTCCAGCTGGTAATTCTTAGTTCTAAAAGAACATACCAATTATTGGTTTAATTAGGAAGCTTAGAAGCAAATGAAAGTATAAGTCAAAAACAAATTTTTGGAGTTTTGTTTAATCTATCATGGATTATGACTCTCAGCAGTTGTACTAATATACACATTATATGATAACTGTGTCCAAAAAAGACAATACGCAAAAATTTATCATGATTTATTTTGATATCCTTATCCCAAATCTAATTAATAGATGAATGAATTAATTGGTAATAGCAGAGTACACGAGGACTCAGTTGGGGAAAACCAATTCATTGTTAAGAGCGGAATTACAAAGTAGGTTTGTAAGCTATGAAAATCGTAGATTAAATGCACTATTTTCACATCATCCTTCGGTTGTCATTTACATACTACAAGATACTTCCAGTTCTCTTGTTACTCCAATTGTATTCTGTTTCCATTTCTGTTCTCTTAAATTCAATGTTCTTCTGGCAGACATTCCACTTCCCGTTCCTGCTACATACTGTTTATATTTGTCAGCAAATGTAGCATACAACACAACAGAATTATGGGAACAATATGGAGCAAAGTGACATTCACCTTTAGCAATTTATTAACATATTTATTCTAATCGTGTGTTGGTGACAGATAAATAAGTATCTATCATGTGTGAGAGTTGATATAATATAATAATGTATTCATCGGAATAGGTCAGTGTGTATCAATATTTGAACTAGGTACACTATCTAATTAGTCACTGAAACATTGACACATGTAATCCAATTGTTCAATTCAAACTATATTTTTAATTGTTCCCTACGTACATATAGTTTATCGGGTGTGACTTATAGTCCAACAGAGATTTAAACCTTAGAAAATAAAAAAAATTACATTTCCTGAAAGTAAATCTAAAGAAAAACATTATTATGAAAGTATTAACGAAAAAAGAACAAAATGGTTTAAACATTCTCTACTAGAAAAATATTTTTTTCAAAGGAATTTTAAATAAACTTTTTGTGGCCCTTTAAAAAACTTGAAAATTTCATT